GCGTTTGTGGCTGGAGATCCCAGACACGGGTCCAGGCAAGAGAATTCGGCTTGCATGCGACCATGGTAAGCCATTGTCTTTCGGCTTCTGCGCCCTCCTTTCCCACATACCAAGCAAAGCCCGTTGAGTGCTGCGGTTTTCCTGTTAACCTTCAGCAGCACAAACAACTAACCCCCCCCCCACTCCAATTCTCTGGATGATTGCTTTATCCCTCCCCCCACCGCATGGCTGGTATCAGGGAAGATCCCTGCAGGAGCCAAACTAACACCCCCCACCCCGCCATGAATTCTCTGGGATGATCGCTTTACCCCTCCCCCCACCAGGTGGCTGGTATCAGGGAAGATCCCTGCTAGCCAAACGCGAAAAGCTCTGGGCCAATTCACTTCCCCTCCCCTCCCCCCCCCCCGCGCTTGGCTAACTGCAGGGAAGGATTTCTTTTCAGCCACAGGCAAACAGCCCAGTAGGAACGGCCACCTCTGTCCCCTTAATTAAATTCCCGTATTTCAACCAGGTTACCATGAGCGATATCGCTCTCCTGAGGATTACACAGCAAGATAAAGAATGGATGTTGCTTGAATGCCAGCAAACACCAGGACCATACGCTGCCAGGCTTTGTCATGCAATGATACCAGATTACTTGCTGCAAGTCAAGTGTCCTACCATGGAGGACGGAATAAGGCTGCACTGCCCAGAAACCTTGTGGCAAGGCTTTTGGAGTACCTCCAGGAGAGCTTCATGGAGATGTCCCTGGAGGATTTCCGCTCCATCCCCAGACATGTTAACAGACTTTTCCAGTAGCTGTACTGGCCGCGAATGCATCCCAAGTCCTCAGGGCAAAGTAATCATTAAAAAATACTTGCTTTTAAAACAAGTTTTATATTTTAAAAGGTAAACTCACCTGAGGTCCCTTCCATGGGGTCATGGTCTTGGATACTGGCTTGGGAGGGTACTTCAGTCAGGCTGAGAAAAAGATCCTGGCTGTTGGGGAGAACGGAATGCTGGGTGCTCTCCGCAAGCTCGTCCTCCTCCTCCTCTTCCCCGTCCACAGAATCCTCAGGTGTAGCTGATGAGATTATCCCCGCCTTGGAATCCACAGTCAGAGGTGGGGTAGTGGTGGCGGCCCCCCCAGATCTGCATGCAGCTCGGTGTAGAAGCGGCATGTCCGCGGCTCTGACCCGGAGCGACCGTTTGCCTCCTTTGTTTTTTGATAGGCTTGTCTGAGCTCCTTGACTTGCACACGGCACTGATCTGAGTCCCTATTGTGGCCTCTCTCCATCATGCCCTTGGAGATTTTTTCAAAAGTTTTGGCATTTCGTCTTTTCGAACGAAGTTCTGCTAGCACTGAATCCTCTCCCCATATATCGATCAGATCCAGTACCTCCCGTACGGTCCATGCTGGTGCTCTTTTTCGATTTTCGGCCTGCATGGTTACCTGTGCTCTCCACGCTGAGCAAACAGGAAATAAAATTCAAATGTTCGCGGGGCTTTTCCTGTCTACCTGGCCAGTGCATCCGAGTTCAGACTGCTGTCCAGAGCGGTCACAATAGTGCACTGTGGGATAGCTCCCGGAGGCCAATACCATCGAATTGCGGCCACACTAACCCTAATTCAAAATGACAATATCGATTTTGGCGCTACTCCCCTCGTCGGGGTGGAGTACAGAAATTGATTTTAAGAGCCCTTTATTTCGAAATAAATGGCTTCATTGTGTGGACGGGTGCAGGGTTAATTCGATTTAACGCTGCTAAATCCGAATTAAAGTCATAGTGTAGACCAGGCCTGATTCTTCTCCCCACACCTTTTCTCTTTCCCCTAGGTCTAATCCACTCCTTGTCCACCCACATCCCTATTCAACATAAAATTATTGAAATTTTTTTCATTTTGTATTAATTTTTTTTGTTCAAAGACACATACACAACCTCAAGTAATGCCACTATCCTGTATTCATAACCCTGTTCATGTGCCTTCTCCCTATGTTTTTTGTTCCCTTGTCACAACTTGGTTTTATTAAAATTATAAGCTCTTTCAGAGAGCGAACTGTCTTTCTATTTGTCTGTGTAGTGCCCAAAAGTGTGCAGGGTGCTACAAAATAGTAAATAATAATGAATTAAGCCTCACCAGTCTAAATAGCAGATATGAGATAGGTAAGAAAAATATAGGTAACTTCCCCCACCACTGAAATGCAATCACTACTGGGGGGATGGGAATGCAGCAGACACATATAATGGCTATTTAGAAAAGGGATTGACTTGAAGTTAACAGAATGTAATTACCCAAGGTGACATTTGGTGAGGACATTGGGACTAACAGCCCCCACAACTTTCAAGTAGCCAAGCTCTTGGCTTTACATCTTACCTCTAAGATCCCTAACATCATGCAGGGAATTGTCTCAGTACTGATCAGTATTAAAAGCATTGAAAATTTTAAAAAACAAACAAAATCTCAATAACTATGGCGTCACAAATAAAAAGAATATCTTTTGCATTTAAGAAGCCAAAAACAAACATACCAAATCCCTAGCCAAGAGTCTCATTTTAAACATCAGCTCTATAGCTCACATACTAAATTAATGAGTGAGGACCACAGACTTTGGACCTTAGTCATTTTTTGAAAAAATGTTTTACATTCACTGAGCATCCAGCGGTCTCAGACAGTCTAAAAATATTTTTTTTCTCTTTCAGTCAACTGGCCCTGCTCCACTGGTATGTCTCTGAAACCAGGCGTCAGAAGGTGTTTCAGGATTGTGTTGACGGGGAAGCTTTTGTATAGCTGTATGCTCTACTATATAGTACATTGGGTGTAGTGCAGCCAGAATGCCATTTCAGCACTTTTGCAAGATCATACTGTGCGGAGGATGCCATTTTGCCAGAGGTGAAAGTAAGACAGTCCGGTCCGGTATGGCGTACCAGCAAGAGCTGGTACACCGTGCCCAACCAGACCGGCTTCCCCAGGCTGGTGCTTTAAAGGGCCTGGGGCTCCCTGCAGTGGCTGGAGCCCCGGGCCCTTTAAATTGCCTCCCGAGCCCTGGGGCTCCGGCAGCCGGGCTGGGGCAGTGATTTAAAGGGCCCGGGGCTCCTGCCGCTGCGGGGAGCCCTTTAAAGCGCCACCGGAGCCCTGCCGCCTACCCTGGGGCTCAGATAACGGGGCTCGGGCAGCGGCTCTAAAGGGCCTGGGGCTCCTCCTGGCCCTTTAAAGCACCCCCCTAGTCCTGCCGCCACTACCCCAGGGCTCAGGCAGCCGAGCTCGGGCAGCAATTTAAAGGGCTCGGAGCTCCGCTGCGATAGTGGTGGCCAGATCCCTGGGGCTCCCAGCTGCCTCTGCAGCTGGTAGCTCCGGGGGTGATTTAAAGGCCCCGGGGCTCCCAGCCGCAGCCGGAGCCTCAGGCCCTTTAAAGTGCCTCTTCCGGTTGAGGCCACGCCCCTGCTCAGGACTCCAGTGTACCAGTAAGTCCTTTAAGTTACTTTCACCCCTGCATTTTGCACTACAAACTGACTTTGTCCGTGACCTCACACCCACTGTGTGTGTGTGGTCACACCATTCCAGCAGTACTGGTACTTGCACATTTCAGACTACACCATACTTGGCTTATCTATAGATATCAAAGGCACTTAATATGGCCCCTATTACCATAGTCTCGGAGTGCCTCGCAGTCTTTACTGTATTTATCCTCCACTCCCACCCCTGTGAGGGAGGGCAGTGCTATTAACCCCCTTTTAGAGATAGGGAACTGAGGCATACATGCACAAAGTAACTTGCCCAAGGGCACTCAGGAAATCTGTGGAAGTGCAAGAAATTGAATGTGGGTCTCCTGACCCCCAGACCAGCACTCTAAATACTGGACTTTAGATTTTAAAATGAAATTTAATCACAATTCTAATTCATTGAGAATGATTTAGTTTTCATAAACACAAGGGACTGAGGTATCGTGTCTAAGGGATCCAGGCATAAAGAGAACCAGGAGTGATGTTCAAACCATCCACCCCATGCTCTTTATGCCGGACATGAAGCAAGCTCTATTATTTTAGACACCTTTCTGAAGAGATGGCCAATCAATCTCTCTTATGCCAGACTGTAGTTGGTTTGTGATGTGGACTGAAGAGCTATGCTGACATGCATCTTTATGCTAAAGCTGCTTGCACTTTCATGCTGAGGCCAGGGTAAAGGGAACTGATCACAGAATCATAGAAGATTAGGTTTGGAAGAGACCTCAGGAGGTCATCTAGTCCAACCCCCCTGCTCAAAGCAGCACCAACCCCAACAATTCTGATGGCTGGATGTAAACATGTCTGTTTAATTGCCATTACTTTGACAGTCAGGGCACCCACCATTGTATTCCATCAGCTTTTAAGTTTTATGTCAAAGGGCTAAAGAAACATTGGGCGTACAACGTTGGTAGCACTGAGACCACTCCTTACCTGCAGTAGTTGTGCTCTCCAAGCCCTCCCTCTCCATTGGGGTATTTCAGGGTATTGTAAGGATGCTGAAAAGTCTCATTCCAAAAGAGACAAGGTCTCCCCGCATGCAAGGAGGTTTGGTTCTGAGTGCCCCGATAATCCGCCCCATTTGCTGTGTAACATTCTAGAAAATGGAGAGAGAGCATGTATGTCATTTTCTGCAAAGGTTTGCCCCATTTTTCTTTTAATCAAAGCTTTCTTGCATCAGTTCAGGCTGTTAAAGACACTGTCCAAGATGTAAGTGTTCCTTTGAGTTAAATTTAGCTTGATTGGCTTTCATATTAATGACAAGTACTTTTACTAAATATTCTATACACTATGCGTTAGTATGCTCTGATGTATCCTGAAACCAAACTACACTTGTTAATTAAATGACCAGGCTACATTTTGTGATGTACTCTTGTTTTGTAAATGAATTTAAACCCTTACTTGATAATTTTTGCAAAATGTGTGAAATTCAGTGATGCTATGGGGCTCCCACTTATCTGTTCACATTACTGAGTTTTGATTGCATTTTGACTAAATTGATTAGGGTTTTGTTTTTTTTTTTTTTAAATCCTTAATCGCTGTGTGAGTGAAAAAGATTCTGTGAGGCCAGGGAAAGTGCCACAGAAGATGCTGGAGGCTGGGCTGAGCATTAGCAGGGAGTTGGGATGGGTGGCAGTGTGGAGGATGGGCAGCAGGAGGGAACAAGAGTCAGGCTGCCAGCAAATGTTGATATAATTTCAAGGATCCCTTTGTACAGTTTTGTTGGTTAAATATAATATATCATTACAAAGCTTATAATCTACTGAGTGTGGTCATCCGATTTGTATAAATGTATCATTCTTGTATCTGAAACTAGAAATATGAAATATAACTCTGAGGTCCTATTGTAATTATGCAAAGAGTGTGGGCCATTAATGGTGGTTTGGAGTCTTGATGGCTCCCATCAACTAGGACAATTGGTTGTAAATGGCTCCGTTTACTTGCAAGCCTTCCAGTGAGTCAGGCCAGGAAGAATGAAGGTTTGGGGTCTCACAGTACATGTGACCATGTCACCTGGGACTGGAATCCACCTTAAACCTGGTGCTTTTCCATTTAGAAGGAGGGGTGGGGATCCAGAGAGACAAAAGATTCCTGCCTTTTGCCAAAGCTATATAAGGGAGTGGAACAGAACAAAGGGGCTGCAGTCATGAGAAATCCTCTAGCTAGCGCTTGAGCTGGAACAAGTACTGTACCAGGGGAAAGGATTGGGCCCAGACTAGAAAGGAGTCTAGTCTGTGAAAGAAGCTTATGGGAACATCTCTGAAGGTGAGATTTATCTGTAATCAGTTTCTTAATGTATTAGGCTTAGACTTGCATGTTTTTGTTTTATTTTGCTTGGTAACTTACTTTCTGTAAGAATAAGATAGAGATAGGGATAGAGAATAAGACTGAGAATATATTATTGCCCTTATATAAATCGATGGTACGCCCTCATCTCGAATACTGCG